GGATTTGAACTGCCAACCTTTTGGTTAGCAGCCAAACGCTTCACTACTGCACCACCAGGCCTCCATTTAATGTACTAGGAATGACTAAAAACTTGTAAGGCATCTCTGATATAGAATTTTGACATCAAAATATTTCAAATGTGTTTCAAATATGTAGGTGGAGGAGAAATTTCATTATGTTCTAACTACCTGGGTGGTGTAAATGTTTTGTGTACAACTACTAGCCCAAAGGTTGGCGGTTCAAATCCACTGAGCGGCACCCTGGAAGAAAGACCTGGCATTCTGCTTCAGTTAAGATTGCAGCCAAGAAAACCCTACAGAGCAGTTCTGCTCTGTAACACGTAGGGTCACCATGAGTCAAAATCAGCTCAGCAGCAATGGGCTTGTTTTTTCTTTTTTTTGTTCAACCTAGCTAGTAATGCCTAATTCTTGACAAAACCCTAAATAATTAAGATGCTTAATAGTCACCTAAATAGAAATTTTTTTGTGAATTAATATTGCTGATACAAGGGAAGGCAGCAACATGGAAACCACTTTGAGTCCTCTTTTTGCACTATAGGACAAATTCTCTCTCTCTTTTTTTTTTTTAACTCCAGTGGGCAGGGATAAAACTAGTAATGAAAGAAATGTCTAATTGGAATTGGCTAATTGACTGAAAACAAAGAAAGCTTCTGATGATGATCAGAATGCAGTAAATATGAGATATGCATGACTAACCTTGAGCCACCCAGTGTTAGTCCTAAGAGTGGTAGTTGCGTGTTATTTACGTGGATGCTCTTGTCTTGGGAAAGGGGGGATACTGTATTTAAATTATCCCTTTCTATGGTGATTGAGATTGTTTTTTCAAGTTTCTGTTTTAATTAATCTCCCATTCATACAGCAACAAATACAATCTTAAAGGTTTGTTGAAATTTAATTATTTGATTGCTTCAAGAATCATCCTATACTAATTCAGAGTTTTTGAAACTGAAAATAAAGGTTGGTAAATATTAGTAAGAGTCAAGGAATTACATTTAATTAAAAGAATGCCTTCTCAGTTATATATAAATAATCCCATCAATTTGCTGTCATTACTATTATAGAGCTTTGTCTTAGCTAAAAATAAACTTTTCTCTTATACCTTGAGTAACCCTTAACAAGTACTTGAATGTAGGTTCTAACTAATATATGTTACAAATTCTATTTGATGTTCACATACAAGTGCCTTAATATATTACTCTCCAGTTGTTAGGCTTATACATTTGTAATAATTCATCTTTTTGACAGAGTCATTATTGGAGGTCCTGAGCAATGAAGACCTACAAACAAACACGGAAGCTTTTTTGTACTGTATGGGGGCTATAAAATTCATTTCTGGAAACACAGGATTTCTTAATGAAATGATCAGCAAAGGTGCTGTGGAAATTTTGATGAATTTGATAAAGCAAATAAATGAGAATACCAAGAAATGTGGGGCGTGTTTGCCTAATTCAGGCCACTTGTTAGTCCAGGTAAGTATTTTGCTTGTAGTGGTTAAATCTGTTAAATTAGTTTTCAAGTTACGTACTATCAATTATATGGAGCCCTGGTGGCACAGTGATAAAGTGCTTGGCTGCTACCCAAAAGATCGGCAGTTTGAACCCACTAGCTGCCTTGCAGGAGAAAGATGTGGCAGTAGGCTTCCATAAAGATTTTTTTTTTTAAAGCAGCTTTATTGAGATATAATTCATATACCACACAATTTACCTATTTAAAGTGTGCAATTCAGTGGTTTTTTATATGTTTACAGGTATGTGCACCCATCACACACAGCAGTCAAGGTTAGAGTATTTTATCACTTCAACAAGAAGCTGTACCTTTTAGCTATCACCTCCCCATCCTCCATCTCTCTCTCTCTCTGTCTCTCACACACACACACACACACACACACACACACACACCAGCCCGAAACAGCGTCTATCTACTTCCTGTCTCTATAGATTTTCCTATTCTGGGAAATGTAATTTCCCTATTTACATGTCACATAAGTGGAATCATACTAATGGTTGCTTGGTGCTAAGTGTTTGGAGAGAATAGGGTAGTAATAGCTAAGGGGTGCTTGGTTTCTCTTTTGTGTGTGTGTGTGTGTGAGCATTAGGTGAAAGTTTATAGAGCAAATTAGTTTCCCGTTCGATAGTTTGTATTCCAGAAAGATTTTAGCCTTCAGTCTGACAGACACTGGAGAAACCCCGAGAGTATGGCCCCTGGACATCCTTTTAGCTCAGTAATGAATTCACTCCTGAAGTTCCCCCTTTAGCCAAAGATTAGACAGGCCCATAAAACAAAATGAGACCAAAGGGGCATACCAGCCCAGGAGCAAGACTAGAAGGCAGGAGGGGACAGGAAAGCTGGTAATAGGGAACCCAAGGTCAAGAAGGGAGAGTGTTGACATGTTGTGGGGTTGTTAACCAATGTCATAAAACAATGTGTACTAACTGTTTAATGAGAAGCTGGTTTGTTCTGTAAACCTTCATCTAAAGTACAGTAAAAAAAAAAAAAAAAATTAAAAAAAGATTTTAGCCTTGGAAACCCTATGGGGCAGTTCTACTTTGTCTTATAGTGTCACTGAGTCAGAATTGACTCGACAGCAACCAGTTTGTTTTTTGGTTTTGGTGGCACAATGGTTAAGTGCTTAGCTGCTAACCAAAGGTTGGTGGTTCGAACACACCCAGTGGCACCGTGTCAATCTGCTCTTGTAAAGATTACAGCCTAGAAAACCAGTGAGGCGGTTTTACTCTGTCTAACAGGGTCGCTATGAGTCTGAATCAACTGGATGGTACGTAACAACAACAATGACAACACCGATTACTGTTTAAAAGAATGGAGTAGGAAAGGCCCCTACTCTGGGTGGGGGTAGTGAGTGGGCCTCGGGGATCAAGAGGGGCAGCCCTGCCCCTTCTCGCTGGGTGCCTCGTGCCCATTTCCGGTGGAAAGGAGTTACATGGCATTTCACAGGAAATGCAGACAGCCATTTCCACTGCCCTGCAGAGAAAACAGGGTGGGAAGAATGAAATGTAGCACCTCTCTGCAAAAGGATTCCGGGTTACAGTCAGACTTTAACAAGGCAGTTTAGAGTCGTGAAGACAGGCTTCGCCTGGAGATGGTTTGTGTGATTGATAGCTAATGTCGTAAATTTTGTATCCACAATAAAAAACAGGAGTTATTGACTTAGGACAGTTGTTGAGCGTGTGTGTGGATAACATATAGCCCTGGGTCTACCAGGAACGAAGGTAACACAACCAGATGCATTGAATATGACCAGAGCAAGGAGAAAAATTTTGTTGTGTTAGAATTCTATTACTTATTTTGTGGCAGATTAAGTTTTATAGTTAAATTATTTTCATTGGAGCTGCTTCAGCTCTCATGTTCTTTTTTAGATGAGATTTTGCTCTTTAATAGCATTTGTATATCAGATAATAACATCTTTGATGTAATAATTCATGAGGTTTGAAATGTGCTTGTCAATTACTGAGGAGTGATTGAGCACTCAGTGCTCTTAGCCTTTGGGAAAGTGTTAAAAATTAGATTTAGGCCCTGCCTTCAAAATGTTTAAAATGTTTATGATGATTATTAATTCTGACTGTGTGGTCTGTCTCCATTTTGAAAAAGATTGTGGAAACCTCTTCATGAATGATGAAAAATTCTACTGAATGTGGTATCTTTTGGCTAAGAGGACTTAAACATTATTTTCATGCTGTCAGTGTTATTGAGTTATTCACATTTTTCTCTCAATGAAAATGGTTGGTTTTGGTTATGTAATTATTACATTTCCTTGCTAAAATACAGAAAAATATAAAGAGGAGTGTAAAAATCACCTGAAATTTTTTCACTCTGAGATAACACACCATCAACATTTTGGTAACCATTCTTCCATGCATCTTTTTATACATACATATGCTTACATGTGTGTAATTTTATATAATCCTTGCTTTTTATTGTGGAACCCCTTATTTTTAATAGTCATTTTTGTTTGTTTTCCATCCCCCTTCCCTCCATGTTTCTCCTTCCAGTCAACTGAGTTAGCCAACATGTTCACAGTGATGTGCTCAGTACCTTTTACTAAGCTTATGTTATTATACACACGTAAGTTTACATATATAAATACATACATATACACGTGTTGTTGTTGTTAGTTGCTGTCAAGTTGATTCTGACTCATGGCAGCCCCATGCGTGCAAAGTAGAACTGCTCCATAGGGTTTTCAAGGCTGTGACCTTTCAGAAGCAGATCTCCAGGCCTGTCTTTCGAGGCACCTTTGGGTGGGTTCAAACCACCAACCTTTCGGCTAGAAGTTGAGCACTTAACCATTTTTGCCACCTAGGGACTCTTGTATATATATATACACATATATATTCATATGTATTTATACATATATATATTTATATATATAAATATTATATATAAATAAAAATCAGTTTATAAAGGAATGTTGAATGTTATTGTGACAAAAAATATAGCCAGTGAAGAAATGGGACCTCTGGTGTACCGGTGGGTACAGCACATCACTCCCCCGTGTGTTCCTCTTTCACTTTTCACTGGATTTGGCGCCCTCAGGTACAAACTAACTCACCTTTCCCGGCATCCATGCTCCCCTCTAGGGTGTTGCAGTGTGGGGCACTGTAGAACTTCCTCCTCACTGCTCGCCACCACTTACCACCTCCTCATGACAGTTGTTTTTGCCATTGTCTCAAAGCCTTCATTTGAACCTATCTAAAGTCTGGCATCTTAGAATCTGGAGCCCTGGTGGCGGAGTGGTTAAGAGCTTGACTGCTAAACAAGAGGTTGGCAGTTGGAATCCACCAGCTACTCCTTGGAAACCATACGGGGTGGTTCTGCTCTGTCCTATAGGGTCACTATGAGTCGGAATCAACTCGATGGCAACGGGTTTGGTTTTTTGTTGTTGATGTTGTTAGAGTCTGGTGTGGACAGGCATCGCATGGCCTCAGTCCTCTCCTTGGACTTCAGTCAGCACCCCACACCCCTGTCCAGCAGGACAAAATGGAGCCCATTATTGCTGCCACCTGAGAATGTGTTCCTGCTGTGGTCACCAAGTGCTCTTGTGTCAACAATACCATAACAGTGGGTGTGTTTTTACAGATTTGGTGTGGAGGGAGGAAGGAAGCATTGTGTTTTAGGCTATTCATTTGCAGAATCTTCTGAACTGGACATTTTCTCATATTTAACTAAAACTAAGAAAAGCTGTTTTATATCATATAAATGATAAAATGTAAGTAACACGACTTCACTGCAAGAGCAGACGAAAATCTCCGCCCTTGTGAATGTGGCTTTTCTCCAGTCCAACCATGTGGGAAATCATCCAAACGGATCTGGCCACACACACAACCGTTTGTGATCACCCCCTTTCAGAACTTGGTAACTCTAGCTGATGAGGCTTTTTTTTAAAGCAACATTGCTCAATTAGGGGAAAAAATCTTGTGGCTGTGATAATAATAAAATAATGTTCATTCATTTCAAAATATCTGCAAACCAGAGAACATGAGAAGGGCAAAAATAAGATAAAGATGGGCAACTTAGGACGCTGTGACTTCCTCTCCTTTGTGACTTTCAACCCGGAGAACCTCAGTAGTTTTAGCACAATTTCTGGGGACCTCATATCATACAACTGTACATTCTAGCACCTGGCACAATGCTGGAGTCATCCTGTCTCTCTGAATTGGCCCTGTGGAAGGCCATTGAGTGAGTGACTTTGAGGATTTGAGAAACTTGAAGAAAGAGAAAAGGAAATTGAATGTTCAAGTTGGGAATAAATAAGATGTGTTTGGGGGATGCTGATGAGTTTGTTCCATGCAGAGCAGAGGGATGCTCTGGGGGAGTCATGGGAGGTGAGATTCAGAGGCTATGGTGGAGCCGGGTAGTAGTGCCTCTGAATGGCAGACTGTGGAGGGTGGACTTGGAGCAACAGGGAGCAGTTGGAGGTTGGTGAACAGGGAGAACGAGATGAGATCAGAGTGGCAGAAAGATGAATGTGCATGAGATGTTAAACCAGTAAAGGCAAAAACAGCTGAAAAGTGATGGGAGGAGAATGTGTCATTGGTATACAACATATTGGAAGATTACGATCTTAGACGCAGTAGCCCCAATTAAGAGGCGTTGCTGCATTTAGATTTTAGACAAATTATTAATGTAGATAAAGAAATGAGTACAAAAGAAAAGCTTCATAGCAGATGAGCTAATGTTGCTTAGAGGGAAAAATACTAAAGTGTTGAAATTATGCTGGTTCTCTCTGTGTTGTTTCATACGCATATGTATATGTACTTGTACACATGCTTGTATATCTCCATCATGGTTGAAATGAAGAGACATTGATTTAACAAATTGATTTTACCCAGGCACTGTTCCAGGTAGCAAGTGAGACAGTGATAAGCAAGGTAGCTGCCAGCAGAGCCTCCTTTTTGGTGATTCCCATATCCATATATACTATTCTGATGCCTTATTCTTCTACAAAACCATG